TGTCAACTAACTTCTAACTAGGATAGGTCAAGAAAATAAACAACAACAAAACATAAAGCATGAAAAAATTTCCTTACAATATATAAAACGAAAATATTTTATAAACCTTCAAAAACGAAATTTTTGTTGCTGATGTTTTATGAAGGCTCAGAAAAAAAGCAACCTGGATCGATAGAAAATAAATTAATTGATACATACTTGTTGATAAAATAATAATATAGAATTACATGTATCGATAAGATCAGCAATTCTTGAGATTGATATATCTGATGATTCAGCATAGGTATCACCATAAAATTGAACATAAGAACTATCTTTTTGTTTTATAATGGTGGCTCTATCGTTATAACGACTAATTAGTAGCATCGAGAGTGGTTGATAATTATAAATGATATCTTGAACATCTTTCAGTTGTACACTTTTTTTAAAAAAATCCAATACTTGACAATTTCTGTCAGAAAATTTCTTAAATAACGATAAAAAAAAATTTATTTTAATTTTTGTTATACGATTGAAGTGTTAGGTCTTGAGAAAATAGTTAAATATTTTTCATCAAAAAAATAAAAAATAAAATGCTTACCACTAGATAATACGGACACTTAAGAAAAACCTGCTGATGTATGTTCAGAACCACATTTTCAATAGAATGATTACAATTCTGACAATATTTTATCTTGACATTCTCATAACTCATATTGCATAAAGCAGGATATGCAATAAGATCATTTGACGACATTGATTTAAATAAAAAAATTGTTGAGCTTTGCTCGTCAGAAGAATTGATAAACTGGTGGCAGAAATTACATATATACTTCGTTTTAACATCAGCTGTAAGAGCATTTTTTAAATCACAAAGTAATGGATGTGTTTGAATAAATTTTAATGCATCTTGAACACTTATAGATTGTGGAATATCATTAACTAAACTTGAACATTTTAATCCTGTAGCATGAATAACAGCATGGACTAAATTGTATCTATTTGAAATAAACATTCGTTCGAAGACCAAAGTACCTACGGGAAAAGAAAAAGAATGATTTATAATAACTAAAAAAGTCTAAGAAGTATTTTTTTAAAATTTAACATGTCAACTGGAAATAATTAATGCAGAAGTCTATTTGATATGCTCTTGATACTCACGACTGTGGGCATATAATCGTTGCAGCTGTTCTCCCTCACCAATTGTTTTGTTATGAAGACTTGTGCGCCAATTTTTTTTAATCTTCGTTGTTCTTACCATTGTATCATAATTGCCTGACTTTACAACACTAGTGAAACATGTTAGATGATATAAACTAGAAGATGGAAAGCCAATGGCGTTCCAAGAACTAAACTGTCCCAACGAGAGCATGGAAGGTGGTCGTTGAGGCCGAGTTACTTGCTTCGAGTCATTGAGGTGTAATAAGAGAACTTGAGGCCATTGTTGAACTTCAATACGACGCATAGTAGCTGTATTACAGTTAGAACAAACCAAATCTGATTGTGTTGGAGCAAAGTAAGCAAATAAATTTTTTTCAACAGATAAACCAGTTACTGATATATTGATAGGAATTGATGTGATGATTGAATGTATCTTAGTTGTTAATTTACATCGACTACATTCATGAATTTTACATATTATCATTTGACAAGGCAATACTGGTATTAATATATATTCTAGTATAAACGAAGATTGTTCAAATGCATCATTTAATTTAATATTTAATGAAGAAATATTGAGATTTGTAGATACATTAGTTTTATTTAATGAATTATACCATTGTTCCAAGAATTTCAAAATTTTAGATAACAAAGGAGAACTTTTTAATGAAGACATATATATATAATGATCAGGATTATTATTTCCTACAGACAATAGAATTCCAACGGCAACATCCAACCAGACTGGACTAAGAATAGGCAATTTCAAATTTTCATTTATATTTACTTTTGGTGACAATAAACATGAAATAAGATCATTGACAATTGGTTCACTAGGACGTTTATTATAAAATCCTGCTCCTCTTCTTGAAACTTTCTCTCGCCATCTTTCTTGAATAGGCTTGAGTCTTTGTTGATCTATACATATTGTTTTATCATTACTTGTACTATAACCTAATAATGCACTCCAATACTCATCAATCATCAACATCATATCCGGAACTAATATAGATAATAAGATGTCGAGTCTTATGTGAACCTCACCACCTAAAAGATGACAACTAATCAATATATCACATGAAATAGATCAAACATCGTAAAAAGAAAAACTATTTTCAGAGATGGGGAGGGGGGGGGGGCAAACAAAAAATAAATTTTTCACATATGCTAAACAAATATAATTCGTTTTAGAAATTTACAAGCTATATTGGGTGTTTATTGTATGTTATAGTAAAAAAATTCGTACTATGTTATAGCCACTATTCTTGGATATTGATCTATAAGATTGAGTTTTGTTAATATCGATAAGTATCCTCTCACTCTACAAATTACTATTCATTACCATTGAGAAGAAAATCTTAAAGAATTCTTTTTAATCGTTTGAAAATCGAATCTAAGCTATGCTTAAAAATAGGTTTTATTACCAATCAAATAAAAGGATCTTTTTACCTAATTGAATCCGTTTTACAATACACATTCGGCGTTCGCTTATAGCAGTTGTTAATTGCTCTTCATTGATGATTGAGATACTTTCAAATAAATTAATAATTTGTCTAGTATGACGAGTTAAATTACCTTCGAATGAAATGAGAATATCATTGCTATTCAAATCTATATACAAGAAAAATTTACCTAATAATAGATTACACCAAATTGGTGTTGTTGGCATGAATGAATTTATGAGATACTTGAACCACCTCAAGATGCCACGTGATGATTTATCATTAACTTGTTTCATTGAAATACTATACAGGCTTAAAACATCATGAAATAATTTAGTTATTGTTGATTTAAATGGAGAGTCCATAGAATTGACCTGTTGTTCTTCATCTATTACCATCTATATTAAAAAATAAATAGATATTTTATCAGAAATAAAAAAAAATGTTTTGATGTTTAGAGGGAATTTTAACCATTTACAATTGAAGTATAAAATGCTTGATGTATCATTTTAGTTTCATAGAAATTAAGAAAAATAATTAAAAAGCTCATTAACAATCCAAACGGATCAACTGATATACACACGAACATGTATACATGATCTGAGTACGTAAATTAGGAATTATTGCATTGAGATATACCAGAAAACGATATCATATTTTTACGAAAATGATGCACGATTAGTTAAAGAACTATGGTGTATTCACTAAATGTTAATATTTATATTTTCGAACCTTTTTTTTTCGATTTGATTTTGAGACATTTGAACCTAGTTGAACTTCTGCTTCATCATCTGTTTCATCAAAATCATATATGCTGGAAAAGTATAAATTTTCAGTATTTTTTTCTGATACTTCATCAGTTGATTTGATAATATTTCTTGTATTAGTATCATTTTTAATTTTACTGATCTTATCAATAAGTGCTTCTTGATGTTCTTTGTTAATAAAATCCTGACCCAAATGCAATTCTATGAAAACTTTACAGATTAATTTCCAATTGTGAAGGAATTCGTTCCATGTTGAAGCATGAATAAGCAAAGCAATACACCACATAGCTAGACTTCGAAATGTTTCTGGAATATATTTATTTATTATTTTTCTACAGTCCTATAAAAGAAAAGTTAATGAGGTCAAATATCGAACATTAAAGTATTACTAAAAGCACGTGTGACAAGCAAGCATGAATATTTGTCTTGTTAATATCTGAATCAGTTGCATCACCAGTAACTATTCGATATGCTCTTTGCAAAAAGTCAGTCATGCTTTCGTTGTTCCAGATCTTGAGAGAAGCAACCAGGAACACTTGTGCTCTATCACTTAGTATGATGCGAGGTTGAGGAAACTTTTTACCGACGAAAACCTATTCAAAACCAATGTTATTGAAAGTATGAACCTTTAATTATCTGAGAATAACAATATATAGAAATCATTTATCAGAAAATTAAAAAAAATTAATGGATTTCAATTATAGAAAAGTTTTTTTTTTCTTTCAGGTTCTTTTTATACTATAAGGAAATAATTCATTTACCTGTGAGTAGCTGTACTTGAATAGTTGTAACCAATGAATAACATTGACAAGTGCATGCGCATCGCTAATCATAAAAGTTAATGGGATAATACTGTCTTGATTAATAACACCAGGAACTGTAGCACTTAATTCATAATATAACAATCGATTATTTTTTTTTTCTCTGATGATGCCTCCTGTGGCATCCCAGGATAAAACGACATTCTTCTGTCTCATAAGTAAATCAAACAATCGTATTGAGGATTCTGAGTATACAATCACTTGAGCAGGATATTTAGATATGAATTGTATACTGCCTTTAATTTTACCATCTGGATTATAATCAATTCGAAACTTTTCCAGCAGTTTGTACAGGCTTTGATCGACATCTTCGGATAATAAAGATTCCATAACTCGTTCTGACTTAATCTTTCTTAATACCTGAACACTTTTCCCTACACCATCGTAATTTTGACCTATTCTTTGTTCTGGTGTACGTTGTTGTAGTTTTTCATGATACATTCGATATGTAGACGCACCATGTGCGAATTGCTGTTTTATTAAATTTCTTAGTGGTGTTCGTGTAGGACGACATACTTTTACACCTTTTTTGTGTCTAACAGTCGTATTCGTAACGATTATGTCTCCTTTACCATTATTCTGCAAGATAATAAAGCATGCGAAAGGACATATTGGTTGAGCACTACATCGTAATTTGCAGCGGAGCAACATGCGATGAACACCATTTGTAGCACCAAAGGTACAATTCCTTATACACAAACCACAAAATTTGTTCAGCTGCTTTAAGTACGGAAGTAATATATAAAAATATGTAACATCAACATTTGATTTTTTTTCAATTGTATTCTCGATATGTGTTGAAGGATCTAAAAAATAAAGTTTAATAAATATGTTATGATAAACACGCATAATATCAAATTGTTTTAAATTTCAAGTTAAGTGTAATACAGATGAAGAATAAATAAAAGTAGTAAAATATATTTGAAAGAAAATGTCTTACTTTCATTTGAAATAACATCAGCAGCTATATTTGTAAATTTATTAACTTGTTTTGAAATAAATATCTTTTTTTCAGTTGATTTATTCGTAGGTTTATCAGTTAATCCCATTTTTTCAAAAAGACGTTGTTTTTTTTTATAATTTTTTTCAGTTTTAATTAATTGTAATTTCGCAAGATCAACAGAACGAAGATTGAATTGATGTGATGATGGTAATGTTGCGACGAAATCATTCTCATCTTGTGAATCTTGAACATATTCATCTAAGTGAATATCTGAACAAATACAAACAACACTTAAAAGTGATGTATACATGAATGAACAGTTTTATAAAATTTTATGTATCTTCAAATTCTTATATCGCTTTTTGTTTTCATCAATTCGCAAAAAAATAAAAATTTTCATTTACGCACTTGAACTATTTGTTGGTCTTGAGAAAATCATCGACTCATGTTGAACTGAATGTTGCTGCATCAAAGAACCACCTTAAAATATGTGTGCATAGAAAAAAGTGTTAAAAAATGAATCAATTTTACCATCATTGACATTGAAAGAATTTGTATCAGCAAAAGAATTATCATCAACAGAAAAAACATCCATTGATTTATTCAAAGAAATGGATTCTTCTTCCAATACCTCGATTTCCTGTATAAAATATTACAAGTACTATAAATATTAATAAAAAAAATATAATACACACATCTTCATGAATAAAATGATGTTTATCAAAATATTTATTTGAAATTGTTGGTGTTGATGATATTAAAATTGAAGATGAATGTATTGGAGATGACAACGGCTCATCATCCGAAATATTTATTGAATCCTGTGACATTTTAACATAACATAGTATATAAGCATCTTTATTGTTAAGTACTGCATCCAAATGAACCGGTGTCACTAGTTCATCATCTGCTTTATACCAATATCCATCAGGGGCACGTACATAAGCAAAAATATGACCATTTGTCACATCTTCACCTAGATGTACAATTACACTATTCAATGTATAGATAAAACTATAATCTTCATTCTCTTTGTTTAATTGTCGAGTAGGTTCATCAAAATGATCATCAAGTGTAATTGTTTCCGGATAATCTATAACCATATTGATTTTACTAGTTGAGTTAAGTTCTACATTATGATCAAATCGTTTGAAATTAAAAAATATTACAGGTGATTCTTTCGTAATCTTTAACGTCTTTTTAGATGGTACTCTCTTTCCACAATTAGAACATTCATATAAATCACCTTCTTGTAATTCTTCAATGCTGAAATATGCTGCAAGAACTTCACTAAGATTTGAATGAGAAGAGATGGGTAGAGATAAAATACTCTCCCAAGTATCAACACCTGATCGATTTAAACAAATTTTGCATTCAATGATAGAGGTTATGTAAAAACCAAATATTTGTTGAATTGGTTGAATAAATGAATTCATATGAGCAAGAGCTTCATTAATTTTTGTACATGAAGCAAGACCATCTAACAGAAAAACTAAAAATTCTGATGGATCTCCTTGCTCACCAAATGTAAAACTTGAAGAAAATTGTTCGATTTGTTGAGCAAAATGTTCAGTAGTTGCATGAGAAAAATCTAATGAATTATATTTATTGCAAGACTCACGAAAAATGTCACATATAATGTCATGTAACGAGCAAAAAGAACAAAATTTGTTCAGAGCCGTTAGCTGACCTAGAAATAAAAACAAAATTCAAGATAATAGTGATTCAGAGTATTATATTTACACATTAATCAAGTGCGAACTGAAACTATCAGTACAATCACTTCAGAATCAAAACGAAAAAAAAAATTTAAAAAGCTTTGTTTTCAATAAAAGTTTCGATGAGCAATATTCTTGAATAGAAAAGCTTATATGTGATAATAAAATGAGCTTACTTCTCGTCGACTATTCCACTTCATTTTTTTTTTATTATAATACTCGAAAATTGAACACGACACTAATAATTCCTCAATTGCTTTGCAATAAGTTGTTTCTTCAAAAGAGTCAATTAAGCTCTGTCAAAGAAATGAAACATATCAAAGCACATCGTCGTCTAGTAGTGAGTAGCGCATATATCTACTATGTTGCAATGAAATAAAAAATAGATTCTTTCCATAAAACACTCATCAAAAAAATTATCACTTCTTATCCATACTGTTGACTAAAAATGATAAGTCTAAATAAGACTAATTTAATACGAGACATTATATAAGTTAGATCATATTATAGAGCTGAGTATTATTATTCATCGATTAGTTAAGAATACATACAATACATGTCATCGAAAAATATCCTTCTTTTACTGTTAAAAAAGCAACTTTACTGCTAAATATTTTTATTTTCATTTTAATTAAAGTTTCAAAAAATACAATGTAATAGAGAATACCATAAAAAAAGATGTAATTTCTGATGAAATTCTACATGGTCACACGACTAGCGAAAAAAACATTGATAGAGAAAGAAATCTTTAAAGCATGTTACAAGATAAAATCAATTACGTTGTTTTGTATCCATTAGGCTCTAGTTGTATGTTAATTAGTTGTAACTTCTCTTTTTTTCTCGTTCTGGATGGTAAAGCAATTCACTTCAATTAGATTATTGTTGACCTATTTGATCACCACATGATTGTCATTAAGAACGAAGTATAAATGTTAAGATAAATCGCATACAACGAAGATTATATGGATTTAACAAATATATGTTTATGCGTAATCAGAGGCAAAAATGAGCATAAACCATCAAACATACCTGAATGTCTTTTCATCATAATATTGGGTTGATGCAAAATTAACGACCGTTTTCATTAATTCTAAATTTATTCAACAATACAACACCAAAGTACACTCAAAACATGTTTAAATGATCATTCTGGAGCATAATCGCCATCTACTTCAATAACTGCTTCCCATTTGCTTGGCAAACGATCGATTCCACGTGCAAAAAAGTGACGATCCTTGGATGCAATCCACGCTTTGACGTCAGCGACTAGATCGTCAAAATCATCGTAGACTTTGCCCGTCTGCCAATTTTTGACCGAACGATTGACGTAATAGTCTGTAAGAGCTTCAGTGGGAGAATATGGTGGGTGCTCAAGCAGTTTCCATCCTTTGTCGCTGACGTCAAAGCGTGGATTGCATCGAAGGATCGTCACTTTTTTGCACGTGGAATCGATCGTTTGCCAAGCAAATGGGAAGCAGTTATTGAAGTAGATGGCGATTATGCTCTAGAATGATCATTTAAACATGTTTTGAGTGTACTTTGGTATTGTATTGTTGAATAAATTTAGAATCAATGAAAACGGTCGTTAATTTTGCATCAACCCAATATTATTCTATGTTCATACGCTTAAAATGAACTACATAATCAATATCGCTTTTAGATGATATTTTAAAATGAAAAATCACACTGGCTTTTACGAAGAGCGATTGTGAATCAAGAAGAATTTACAATTGTATTGTTTTATAAATAAACATTTTTAATACCATTCCTTGTCACAAGATACAGAACGAAGAATTATTTTTATGTGTATCTGCATCATCGGAAGTAGCCCAACTATATTATAGACTTGTAATTCAGTATCACTCATTCATTATGTGAAAATTATTCCAAAGAAAAAATCTCACAAGATCTCATAGAAAGATTTTATTCGTTTGCTACGTGCATATATATATATATATATATATATATGTATGACGGACAAAAACTGAAATTACGTACATTTATCAAAAGCATAGTTCTGTAAAAGCCACTCAACAAAAGGTGCCGTATTTGCTAAACATTGAATGATTGAATTAATGTAACAAAGATTTTTTGATTTTCCATATTGATCATGGTTAGATAGACCACTACCAGTAATCTTTATGGATGTCCATTTCTTCGTCAGAAACGTGTATGGTGAAAAATTGTTAACGATATGTTTTGGTGTTGAATACGGTGCTAAAGAAAAAAATTATTCAACGAAAAACCTTAGGATTTATTTACATTGTTCATAAGTTATAGTTGAATTGATGGTAATCTCTTGGGCATCAATAGCTTGTAATGATGTTTCATTTAAAATTTTTGATTTTGTGCACTTCTATGGAAATAAATAGAACTATATCAAGCATTTTTCCATTGTCCCAGCTTACTTTCAAAGAATCGTTAATATCAATCGTTTTGTCAATAGTTGCTAGATTTATACAATTTAGTTTTTTTCTTATATCAATTAAAAATTTTGTTGCAGCTTCTCTTATGTTATTGTTATTTTCAATAGTACAAATAAGACTATATGGTACATGATATGCAACAGCTACTAGAGCTTTATTTACTCCTTTATTTATTTCTTTTAAACATGTTTTAAGAGTGTCCTCTAACTTAACAGTTGATTGAATACCAAATCTTTTTTTTATTTCAGATGGTTCACCATACAAGTCTTTTTGTATTTGATCGATTGAAATACGATGTAGATGAGCAACTATCTCTAAAGATTCTCCATCTTCATTGAATGCATCAATAGCCGCAGCTGCCCGATTTTGGATTTGTCTATAACGATGTTCAAGATGACCATTATGAATAGATCCATTAGTTGTTCGAATATTCAATTGCTTCATAATTTTTCTTTTTAACTATCTAATAAATTCAAAAAGTTTTTTATAATTTTTTAAATTAAAGAAAAAATTAAATTCATCTGCTTTAAAAATTTATTTAAAACATGATGAAGTAATAAAAAACACTGTTTCAATGCAATTTTTTTTTGCAATCAATTAATATTTTATCATGGGGAAGTAAAATTCACAAAAGGTTCACATAATAAGTGAATTCATTTTATAGATTACGATGGCTGATCCAGTCCATCTATTATATGCAAGAAGATGATTGGGTGACGGTAAAAAATGGATTCGTTATTTGATTGGCTTGTTAGCCCCGGCTGAAGTGAGCATCATTTTTTATGCTTACATGTTGTGCTCACTTCACACAACCAGTAAAAATAACGTGAATAAAAGAGGTCGCTCATTTCAAGAGTTTGCTTATTTTGTTATATCGATATTTCTATGGATTGATTAAACTTGCTGTTACTAAACATTTCTTTCACTGTCTAATTACCAATATA